TAACCTGTTCATTGACACCCAATTTGGGTCTAGCCGGGCCACACAGCTACTGATCTTATTTCAGCATAATTTCAATTTTGCTGTATAATTTCAAGGGAAAAAAGGGGTTAAGTTTTCTTTTACCGAGTTCTGATTTACTTTATTCATGTTTCCTGTATTCACAGTAGAGTTTACCAACAGTTTTGTAGTTAAAGCTACAAATCGATCCATGGTATTCTCCTTCTGAGCTTCGTTTTTGGACTCCCTCTCATAAATACCATTATATCAAATGAGCTTCATTCACAACTACAGCAATCTGAATGAAGTTGTCTTACTCTATTACAATTGGAGTACTTTAGCATTTGATTTTCATCTTCACCTTCAGCAACTTCCTTTCTAGTTTGAAGAAAAAAATTTTGAGGCTTTCCCACTTGACCCTTCTTCACCCTTGTTACTTCCCTCCCTTTATTTTTACACCTTGTATTCTTCTTGAGTTTATAGCACTCATGGTAAAAAGTATTTACTTTTATGGGTCAGCTCATAGTCATCAGGCTATATCTGCTGCAAGTCTAATCGCTGCAAATCTCTTGTCAATGTGGAATCATAAAGTTGTACAGCATAGAAGCAGACTTTTTGATCCAACTTGTCCAAGCTGACCAGATATGGTAAATTAATCTAGTTCCATTTGCCAGCATTTGGTCCATATCCCTCTAAAGCCTTCTTATTAATGTACTCATCCAGATACCTTTAAAATTTGTATTTTTATCAGCATCCACCACTTCTTCTGGCACCACTCTCTCATGAAAACATTGTCCTTTTTAGGTCCCTTTTAAACCCTTCCCCTCTCAATTTCAATCTATGCCCTTTAATTTTGGACTCCCTTACCATGGGAAAAAGACCTTGGCTATTCACCCTATCCATGCCTCTCTGATTTTATAAACCTCTCAGCCTGGATATGGGGCCGGAAGCAGGCAGGTGGGACTAGTTTGGGATTTGGCCATTTGCTTATTTTTCTTTTTTTTCTCAAATGACAAAAAGAATGATTCAACATCCTGTTTTGCTGCAATTTGAGGTACAAATTTAAATAATTCCTCACTGGACTTTTCATTGTGATGGATCTTCTTCAAAGCTGTAATGACATCCAAAGTCTTTTTTTTGGGATGCATTCTCCTAAGCTGGTATTCTTTTCTCAGTTTCCTCTCTTTATCCCTTTTTCCATTTCCTAAATCTCTACTTCCATCATATTAAATGTTCTATTCATCTTTCTCCTCTCTCTGAATTTCAAAACCGTTAAATTTCATTTTCAACTGTATTTCAGTCTTTCAAATTCTTTTTTATGTTCAAGTTCTTTTCATTCTTTCTCACGTTTAAGCTGCTTTAACTGCAGTTGAATTCTAATTAAAGTGATTCATTGCACTAAGTTCCTCCTGCATTTCTACTAAGCCTAGATGCTTTGCCAATATTTCAATTACTTTACCTTCTTAGCTCTGGGAAGCAATTCTACATCTAATTATTTGCAAATTACATCAGCTTTGTTTTTGTTAAATCCTTTAAATCCATCATGGATACCACTTCCAACTACATGATGGCAGCTGCTAATGCCATCTTATTTTAAAGTATGAGAAATCTTGTACCTGTCCTTTTATCACATACTAATTATCCTACACATTTAATCTGTTGTCTTCAGTCAAAGGTTTCTGAACCAGAGCCCTGAGAGTTTCATCATGACTCAATTGGAAAGAATGTGCCATTAATGGAGCCCCATTACTCCACAAGTTGAGAGGGGAAAGACATAAAAGGGACCTAAGGGATAACTTTTTCACACAGATGGTGATGCATGTATGGGATGAGCTGCCAGAGGAAGTGGTGGAGGCTGGTACAATTACAACATTCAAAAGGCACCTGGATGGATACATGAATAGAGGGATATGGGCCAATGCTGGCAAATGAGACTAGATTAATTTAGGATATCTGGTTGGCAATGACGATTTGGACTGAGGGGTCTGTTTCTGTGATGAACAACTCTATGACTGTAAATGTGTACCTGCCCAAATAAACCACCAAGATGATCAATTTTCCAGATGGACTTTAATTCAGGACAAAAGGTAATTCATGCAAAGTTTAATCATTAACAAGAAAACAACTTTTATTGCAAAAAAAATTACTTAACAACTGATAAAAATTGGACTTTCTATTATAGGGCTTAGAGTACACCACTTTTGAACTTCATATGTACATTCATAAATAAACAACAGACAAAACCAACACAGATGTCATGGATGAAACACTACAGGAAAGGGAAATCAAATTTCAGTGGGTCAAAACTGGAACCACAAGGTTGGAAAGTTATTTCTTACAGTTCTTTTAATTTTAGCAATGATAACAGAATTTTGTATGCAGAATGATCGTCAATCTTTGATTCAATAGCTGATTAGGTGGACCTAAATCTTTTCTCGGATTCAAAGTCTTTCTTTCCACTCTCAAGTTTTGTTTTTTTAATTTTTTACTTGTTTTTAAGGCTTCTGGATGTCCCTGAGTTCAGTACAGATATTTTCCTGATCAACCCATTCAGAGATGTTGTTACCCAGCTCTGGAGCAGAAGGAATTTGAATGCAGGTCTCATGATTCAGAGGTAGGGGCACTAACAATTGCAAAACAAAAAACAACCCTTACAGCTGAACACTACAGATTTTCTTCTAAAAACAGTCTGTTCAGGCAAGTCATCATACATCTCAAATCTCCTGGTTCAGAGGCAGGGACACTACCACTGCACCACAACAGCCCCTCTACTGAGGATTATACTCACACACCTGTAACAATCTGCAATCACACCAATCCAAAATGAGGTCATTTTTCCTGAACTCAAAGGCTCCTGGTGCCTCCCTGTCTCAAAATATCTACCTCACTGCTTTGGAAAGCAATATAGTCATGCATAACTAAAGTGGACATCAAAGATCCCACTTGATTATTAAGTTGCAGGAAAAAAAAACTTTTTCCTGGTACCTTTTCGCTACATTGCAGTTCAGGAATAAAAACACAGATATGTGGTCACTTGCAATCCAGAAGCAGTCATGTGTGATGGTCATCCAAAGTTCATGAGGTAATCATTGCTCTTTCCAATTTAGCTGAAGCGCTCTCACTTTTTTTTTGAAGCCACACAATGAAAATCAGCTTGATATTTCACAATGAGGGGCAGCATAGACCGATTCAAAATGTGCACACAAAGAGCTTCTACTGGATGAAGGTCTGGCAGTTTGTACCCCAGCTGCATAAAAATAATTCCAGTCACACATTCTAATTTTGGATGAAGTGAGCAGCCTCAGCCGCAGTGAAATTGCCACTGTAAAACAAAACAATATTTCTCATGTCACATGGCATTGTAAACATGTGAAATGCCAAGAGTTAGCTTTTTCATCTTTACCTTGCAGATGTTAATCCGCACACAAGAAGAACAGACTAAATCCATTCCTTTTGCGGAAGTACACCAGCAATACAGCGCCCGCCCCTATTCTCTTTGCATTAAGCATTTAGCGAAAATGTATTAGTTCTGTAAGGCAGGTACTAAGATTGGGGAAAACCTGACCAAAAGATGCCAAAAATTCCCATAAATCTGTAATTTGTTCTGTCATAACCTTGCACATCTCTATCAAATCTCTTATTTTAAGAAGAACGTCACTTCCTCATCTTGGCACTGGAGTTAAAAAGTCGTCATCCATTGCAGTTTCTCTCGAGACAGTCTTCCTAATCCAGTGATGAGAACACAAGAATATCAGCCGTGACCCAGTGGCAGCTTTATACAGTTTCAGCAAAACTTCACTTGCTGCTGGGTTCGAGACTTGGATTTACGAAACCCGTAACATCACACTCCTTTCAATATGTCCCTAGAGTTAAACTTGCGAATAATGCAAACCATTCCGACACACATACCTGAGAACAGTATGTAATATATTCATTTCCAAGTATTACTGGTCGGCTTTTCCCTCTAGGCACCTATCCCTAAATTACGCTGGGCCTGTACAGGCCAGAACTGAAAAAAAGAAATTGCTGGGAAATTTCAGCAGGTCCGGCAGCATTCTGCGGAGAGAGAGAAAGCAGAGTTAACGTTTCGGGTCTGAAGTCAGAACTGAAGAAGGGTCATTGGACCTGAAACGTTAACTCTGCTTTCTCTCTCTCCACAAATGCTGCCAGACTTGCTGAGTTTTCCCAGCATTTTATGTTTTTGTTTCTGATTTCCAGCATCCGCAGTTCTTTCGATGTTTTATTTAGGGAACTCTTAATGATGGGGGAAAAGGAAAAATCCACTTCCAAGTGGTCAGTGGGCACATCCAGGATGAATTAATTGTAGGAAGTGTTTGTTTGCAAAAAAAAATTGTAGGAAAGTGGATACTTTTCTCTTTACTGTAGCACAGTTCACATAAATTGTTAACATCTTACCAGTCATCTGTTAGTATGGTGTTTGTCATTGTTTTCTGAAATACCTGAAAAGTTGATGTGGGAGAATTGAGTAAAGTTTCAATAGGAGTCCTGGAAAATAGAATTAAGGTATTGATAATCAGAATAAGAGGGTAGTTAGAAACTAAAATAGAGGTTGCTGGAAAAGCTCAGCAGGTCTGACAGCATCTGTGAAGAGAAATCAAAGTTAACGTTTCGGATCCAGTGACCCTTCCTCAGTCCCTTCGTAAGAGAGGCATTTTAAAAAAAAAAATCCCATTATAGACTTTTTCTTTGTATACGTTATGTTATGTAGGTCTGTTTTGTTTTGAGCGGGCGAACTCATTTACTCCTGGGTCAGAAGAAGTCTACGGCAACCTGCTCCCGATTAACAAAATGCACTAATTGTGACCAGTTGGATTACATGTTGCTTGGAAAATGATTTTTAATGCCGTTTGTCACTTGGGTAATGTTGAGCACAACCACAGTGCGGACCTTGAGTGAGACAGTTTCTACTCACAGATCATCCAGCCCCTCCCCTAACCCTCGGACAACCAGTTACAAATCCATATCTCTTCGTTGTAATTGCAAGATGAACTCGATTGGAGACCATTTGAGAGTGAAATTCAGCTTCCCAACCCCGCTTCCTGCAAAGAGCTCTCTTTAAGTTTGCCACCAGCAGATAACAAACTTAAAAAGAAATGGCGAGAGGATCCCACGGCGTGTTGCTGTCACTTGTACTGAGTTTCTACCGAGTACATCAATGCCTGACCGGTGAGTTCCCCTTATTGTGTTTGCAAGAGACTGTGCGCTCGCCGCTTCTGACCCGAGACTGTATTGGCATGCAGGTTTCACTAGTTGTTTTATAAAAGGGGATGAAGTTTGCGATGGAGTTGTAAAGTTATGAAACCTGTCCTGTTTGTTGCACGTAAGTAACATTAGTTGCTTTGTTTGTTTTTTGTTTTTGTTTTTGTTTTGTCACTAGCCGTCCGTTTCCTCTCAGCTCTCGCCTTCCACTGACCAAAGTAAACATCCTGCCTACATTACCAGAGGTCAGAAAAGTCAAGACCGACTCCGTTGATTCCTAAATGTAAGACTTCCTGACGTGTCGGTGCTCCGTGGACAAGAAAAAGTGGACAACTTGCATTCACCTAGCGCCTTTCGCGACGTCAGGGCGTCCTGAAGAACATTACAGTTCGCTCTCGACTCTCTTCACCCACCACCACCCCCTCCCCTGCATCCACGTATACTTCGCTCAAAACATTTGCAAGCATAGAGTTATGCATACATAAGAGCATGGAAACAGACCCTTTGGCCCAACCAGTTCACGCCGACGGTGCTCCCAAACTGCCTGCGCTTAGCCCGTATCCCTCCTAACATTTCTTATTCATGTGCTAATCTAAATGTCTTTTAAACGTGGTAACTGTACTAGCATCCACCACTTCCTCTGGAAGTTCATTCCACACAGGAACCATACTCTGTGAAAAAAATTGCCCCTCATTTTTTTTACATCTTTGCCCTCTCACCTTTAAAAATATGCCCCTTAGTCTTGAAATCCCCCATCCTAGTGAAAAGACACCTGCCATTCACCTTATTTATACCCCACATGATTTTATATACCTTGTTAAGGTCACCTCGAGACCTCCTACACTCCAGTGAAGTTCCAGCTGACCCAGCCTCTCCCCATAACTCAAAACCTTCATGTTATAAAGCAGATCTGTAGCTCGACTTGCGGTTGGAGTTGTTGGTTGGTTCACTGAGCTGGCTGGTTTTCATGCAAACATTTCATCTCCCTTCTAGATGACATTGTCCGTGCTGCGTAGCCTTCTTTGAAGCGCTGTTGTTCTGTCGCGCTCTTATTGCAGCCACTAAGTCTTAGACTTAGTCTCTTGTAGATTTACACACTCACTCTGTTACTCTTGTCTCTGTCTCTGGGTGTGCGAAACTACTTTTTTTCTCACTGTCTCTCTCACACTTGATGGTCACCTGGTTTCTGTGTTTTGCCATGCCGGTCTCCTCAGAAGGCCTCAGAAGATTCTGAGAGGTTCTAAGAGGGACATCTACTTTTTTGGATGGTTTTCTGGAACTTTCTGTAGTTCTGGCCAATTGGGGAGATACACTTAATAGTTTGAAACAGAGGCAATCTTTTGGATGGCATGGTACTGTCAATTTCTTTGTATAGCAGGACCTGGTGCCTTTCTGCCTGGGTCCTCCTTTTATTTGGTGGTTAAGTTGCCTTTTATATTATGCTAATATCATCAGCACCTGGCTGCTGTGTTTGCACTGTGATTGGTGTGTGGGTTTTGTGATTTCAGTGTTTTACTTGGCCAATATAACCAGCATCTCTTACTGTTTCCTCAACCGAGGATTCCCCAGCTCCATTGTCGACAGGGGCCTCAACCAGGTTCGACCCATCTCCTGCACTTCCGCCCTCACCCCTTCTCTTCCCTCCTGCAACAGCAATAGTGTTCCGCTTATCCTCACCTACCATCCCACCAGCATCCGCATCCAGAAGATTTTCAGACGCCATTTCTGCCACCTCCAGCAAGAAGCCACGACCAGACACATATTCCCCTCCCCTCCCTTGTCCGCTTTCTGATGGGACCGTTCCCTCCGGGACACTATGGTCCGCACTTCCTTCAGTCCCAACACCTCCCCACAGCCCTATGTCACCTTCCCCTGTGACCGGTGAAGGTGCAACACCTGCCCATTTACCTCCTCCCTCCCCAGTATCCAAGGGCCCAAACATACCTTCCAGGTGAAACACTTCACCTGCACTTCCCAGAATCTAGTCTACTGCTTTCGCTGCTCACAATGTGGTCTCCTCTACACTGGGGCAACTAAGCGTAGACTTGGCAACCGCTTTGCAGAACATCTACGTTCTGCTCGCAAAAAAGACCCTGAACTACCTGTTGCCTGCCACTTCAATGCATCACCCTGCTCCTGGCCAACATCTCTGTCTCTGGCTTGCTGCAGTGTTCCAATGAAGCCCAGCGCAAGCTGGAAGAACAGCACCTCATTTTCCGCTTGGGGACCCTACAGCCCTCCGGACTCAATATTGAGTTCAATAATTTTACGGCCTAAACTCTCTCACGTCCCAGCCCCCCACCCCATACTCCAGGCCTTGTTACCACATAGCCTGCCATTACAGACCCCCTGTTGTTAGTCACTAACAGTCCCCATTAACAACTACTCACCCTCCCAGCCTGATCGTTAGCAACTCCTTTGTCTGTCCTACTGTCTTTCTCTCTCTTTGGGCTCTATCCTATTGTTTACTCCCTACCTCACCCACCTCCCAATTTTCTATATATAAACTGACATTTTCCCAGCCACTATCAGTTCTGAGGAAGGGTCACCGGACCCGAAACGTTAACGCTGTTTTCTCCTCCACAGATGCTACCAGACCTGCTGAGCTTTTCCAGCAACTTTGCTTTTGTCCCTGATTTACAGCATCCGCAGTTCTTTTGGTTTTTATCTCTTACTGTTTGGCGAGGTTAGTAATCTGTCTGCATTTTAATAGCCAGGAGGCTGCTGCAGGTGGTACTTTATTTAAGCACTACAGGCAAAAAGACTGAATTGCCTCTTTCTGTTCTGTAACTTTTTTCTGGTTCTATTGTTCCAACAGTTATGAAGTAATACAAGGGAAGCTCAAAGCCAAATATATTTAACTGGAGGAGGGCTAATCCGTCACCTTAGAAAATGATCTGGTCTGGAATCACAAAATATGTAGGGTCAAGTTAATTAAGCATAAGAAAACCTGAGGGCATCTAAAGTTACATCTCCTTGGATAACTAAGCATGTCAAGGTGATATTAAATCAAAAAAGGTCTTTATGATAAATGTTATATCTACAATTGAGCTGCAAATAACCTGAATGTAGATCATTTAAATGATGCCTATTTAAAAAGAAGGTAACAATGATAGAATATGTATGTCAGAAATTAAAATAATAGGGAATCAAAACGTTTTTCAAAAAGTCTATAAATAGCAAAAGGGAAATATGCTTGTTTAACTGGAGGGAATGGCCAGAGTATTAAATGAACTCTTTTGCATTTGTCTTCACTTAAAAGACATACTACCAATATAAAAGTAAAGAAAAATGAAGCAAAGGTATTTGGTGGAATTGTAATCAGTAACGAGGTTGCAATCAATACTTCAAAATTTCATAAAATGCAAAACTATATCTGCTCTGGTTTGAATACAGCATATGTTGCCGAGGGATGTAAGGGTGACATCCTCGAGGATTATACAAGCCTTTTTAGGTATCGGAGTGTTGCCAGAAGTATGAATTATTGCAAATGTTAACTCCTTGTTCAAGACGAGCTGGTGGTTGGAGTGGGGCAGAGTATTGAATAGATAAATCTAGCAACTTTAGACTTCTCAGCCTAACTTCTGTTTAGAAAAATTCTTAGAGATCTTAATCCATTAAAAATTAGTCTTGAGGAATGGTGGAGCAATTGATAAAAACTGTAGGGAATTGTTAAAGGCAAATTATATTTGACTGGCTTGATGAATATTTGTTGCAAGCTTGCTAAAGATTGGTTCATATTGTTCATAGTGGGTTCATGTACTTTAAAAAGGTGGTTGAAAGAACACTATAATAGACTTGCTAGGAATATTTAAACCCATGGAATTATAGAGACATGGAAGAATGGATGCAAAATTGGCTTGGGATAATAAAGTAGCAAGTCGTGGTGGGAGGACACTCTTCAATTTGATGCAAAGTCTAAAGTACTTTCCCCACCAGTCAGTATTAGGACAGGCTCTTGACATATTAATAAACTCCATCTGTGTATTAGAGCATTATGTTGCCACCAGGCAACATAATCTAGAAATATAGTAAATAAAGAATGCAACAGGATTCTTATTCTGGAGCGCACAAGTGAAATAGAAAGACATATTGTTGCTGACATTTGAGATTTGGGAATGATGATTTTGTCAGGAAAGTTGTAGATATGTATATAGACTACAAATTACACTTTTAAAGGTTTGCAGGAACACAGGGAGCTGCGTTGCATGTGATGTGGGGAAATCTGTCAAAGTGGGAGGATAATTTGAGATAATTTTATGAAAAATGTTTATTGATTTCATGGCTTTATTATTATAATAATAGGGTGCAAAAACCAAAATGTTATGCTGAAACTTCACAAACAATTGACTAGTGCTCAAATGGAATTGTGTTCAATTCTGGCTACCAAGTTTGACCAAGAAATGTGTCAAGGAAGCAGAAGAACCGCTCCAGAGATGGAGGATTTTGGTTAAGTGAGTGACTAGAGAAGATGTGCCTGTTCTCTCTGATTCAAAAAACTCAAGAGGACATAGGTGTAGACAACCATAGACTTTAATAGAATAAATCAGAAAAGTAATTTACCCAGAAGGTCAATAAATTTGCCAGAATAAAAAGTGAAATTTACCAAATATTTTGTTATATGTTGATATGTTGGGATGTACCTTCGCTAGTGCTTTCAGTCTGTGTCTCAGTTTCCCACTAGTTTTAAGTTACACTGCAGTGTTTTGTTTACTAATCTAGTTTTGCCCACAGCTAATTCTGGGATTAGAGGTCTGGCAGTCTAGTGGAAATTTTACTGTTGTAGGTTAGCAAAAGGATTGGACCATTTTTCAAGTTAAGTGAGTTGAAATCCCAATATGGTAGCTGAGAAATTTAAAATCCATTCATTATCAAATATGGAATGGGAATCCATTGTTTTAAATGGACACCATGCCACTACCAAATGTGATGAAAACATATTTGGCTCATTAATCAGCTTTGAGGAAGGTTGGCATACCTTTTCAGTCTCGTGGAAAACTGTGACTTGGAAAGTATTTAAACTTAATCAAAATAAAATTGAGTTGAAGCAAGCAAAACACAATTCTGATTTGGGATTATTTGAGCGACCTTTCGTTGTTGCTGTGTCATTCTCTGGGAACTCTCTTGCTTACAGCACTGTGGGAGTTCATACACTTGAAAGATTGCTGTGGTTTAAGAAGGCAGCTCACTGCCACCTTCTCAGGGCCAATTCGTGTTGAGCAGTAAGTGCTGGTCTGAGCAGTGAATGATCAAATAAAGATAGCCAACTGATACTTACCCACCAGTTTTCTGCTGAGTGCGGAGAGTGGCAATTAGTCACAAAAGATTGATGGTGGAATGGATTTGGTGGTGCAGTTTGTAAGTTGTCTGACTTGGTTTAGAAGTCAGGGAACTCAAAAAAATGATTTCTGTACTTGTTAGTTGATTCCCAATGCCAGTTTAATGATGGGAGACTGGTTGAAAAACTACCAAACCGTGATTTCAAGTAAAACAATGAATGAGTCTTAGAGAGACTCATTGAGTCATACATCATTAAAGGAGGCCCTTTGGCCCACCATGTTCTTGCTGACCAAGAAACACCAACCTACACTAATTCCATTTGTCTGCACTTGGTCCTTAGCCTACTGTGCCCTGAAATTTTAAGTGCTCAGCCAGATGCTTCTTAATGGTGTGAGAGTAATTGCCTCCACCACCCTCTCTGGCATTATGCTCTTTATTTATCACCCTCTAGGTGAACAATCTTTCAATCTGGTCTCCTTTAAATCACTTGCTCCTCACCTTAAACTGATGCTCTCTGGTCTTAGATATATCTACCATGGTGAAAAATTCTCCTGATCTAATCTGACTATGCCTCTCATAATTTTTTAATATCTTAATCAGCTTCACCGCCACCACCCCTCCTCCCTGAGTCTCCTCTGCTCCTAGAAAAGAAACTCATCCATCTCTCCTCATAACTGAGAACTTTCATTCCAGGTTACATGTTGTTGAATGTCCCCGGCACCTTCTCTGGTGCAATCACATCTTTGATAGTGTGATGACCAGAACTGCACATAGTATTCCATTTGTGGCCTATTCATTGTTAATAAAGTTGAAACAAACTTTTAACTTCTCAATTGTGAATGAGGTATTGAATTATACCAGGAAGAAAGGCACCGAGATTCATTTCTGGTGAGAGTTGATCGAGGTGACTTAAGTTTATGAGCTTATTCTTGCATGACTACATTTCCCTACCCTTCTAGTCTAGGGCACCAGGAAAAATAATACATCAGAATTTCCATTGCTGATCATTGGTAAGTCGTGAAAAGTTTTTGTGCACAGAGAATGCTTGAGATCAATATTTCTCTCTTGTTCTGAAGAGACTGCAACCCATTAGTTTTCTAGATTATGTAGGAAATGACTGTATTGAGATATTTGGTTATTCATTTGAAAGAGTGATTTGTGTTGTAATGGAAATCTCTGGGCAAGATTATTCGTCAACTGAACCAAGTAGAAAATAATCAGGATGCAGTTACCACATTTACATTTATTTCCAATGGTGTCCTTGAGTGTCAATGACAGGCATCAAAACTCTGATCTATTTTGTCCTCACCATACACATGCCGAAATCATTGATGTCAAATTTGTGTCAGAGGTAGGAAGGAATTGGCCGTATCCAACAAGATAGAAGCTACCCATCTCACCTTTGACATTCAATGGCATCACCATTGTTGAGCCTCCAATTATCAATAGCCCAAACATTACTATGGACCAGGAATGCACTTGAATTAACTGCAGATACGATGGCTATAACAACAGGTTAGATGCCTGGCATTCTGTGGTAGAAGCACACAGCCTGTCTACAAATGCCTTTCTAACATCTACAAGGCATACAAGAAGAGTGTGGTGGAATGCTCTGCATTTGCCTGGATGAGTCTAGCTCCAGTAGAAGCTGGACATCATCCAGGATACCAGTCACTTTTCTCACTTGATTGGCACTGCATCCGCCACCTTTAAACATAAATTCCTTCAATCATAAATGTATAGTGGCAGTGGTGTGAACATTTACAAATCTCATGACAGCAACTCATCAAGACAGAGAGTGGTGGTAGAAGATTGCTTTTCAGACTGGAGGCCTGTCACCAGTGGTGTTCCACAGGGATCGATTGTGGATCCTGTTTGTCATTGCTATAAATAATTTGTATGACAATATCGAAGGCACGGTTAGCAAGTTTGCGGACGGTACCAAATTTGGTGACATAGTAGATAGTGAAGAAGGTTTTCTAAGATTACAAAGGAATCCTGATGAAATGGTTCAATGAGCTGAAAAATAGCAGATGGAGTTCAATTTGGATGAATGCAAGATATTGCATTTTTGTGGAACAAACAGGGACAGGACCTATACAATTAATGGTAAACTCTTGGGTAGTGTCGTAGAACAGAGGGACATAGAGGTTCAGGTATGTAATGCTTTGAAGTTTGTGTCACATATAGACAAGGTGGCTGGAAAGGTGTTTAACGCACTTGCCTTCATTGCTCAGTCCTTTGAGTATTGAAGTTGGTAAGTCACGTTGACGTTGCACAGGACATTGGTGAGGCCTCTTCTGGGGTATTGTGTCCAGTACTGCAATAGGACAGATATTATTAGGCTGGAAAGGGTCCAAAAGAGATTTATCAGGATGTGGTTGGGAAGGGAAGGTATCAATTATAAAGACAGGCTGGATGGATTTTTTTACTGGAGTGTAGAAAGTTGAGAGGTGACATTATAGATGTTTATAAATCATGAGGGGTATTGATACGTTAATAGGAGATGTCTTTGCTGTATGATGGGGGATTTCAAGACTGGGCGTATATTTTTAAGGTGAGAGGAGACAGATTTAGAAAAAGACACGAGGGGCAACATTTTTACATAGAGGGTGGTTTGCATGTGGAATGAACTTCTTGAGGAAGCGGTGGATGTGGGCACAGTTACAATGTTTAAAAGATACTGCCAAGCACAGGCAGGTAGGACTAGTTCAGTTTGGGATTATGTTCGGCATCAGCTGTTTGGACCAAAAGATCTGTTTCTGTGCTGTATGACTCTAAGATTCTATAAGCCTCCTTTGATAGTACCTTTGAAGCCCACAACCTTGGCTGTCCTGTTTGCAAAGGCTAAGGAAGCAGATACTTGGAAACGCTATTGCCTGCCTGTTCCTGTCTACGCCGTACACCGTCTAACCTATATTGCCATTCCTTTGTTGTCACTCGATCAAATTTTGTTAGCTACCTTCAACAGCGCACATTATCATAAAATAGGATTTTTGGAATAAATTTCTCGAAAATGGACATATTCTTCTTAATGTATGCAATTTATTTCTTCGGCTCTTTGTGCCTATATTGATTTAACACAGGAGTGAGGACTTATATCTTCTGTGTAATGTGTTATGACTGGCTTATCATTTCAAGTCTTTCAGTAAGCTGCAATCAGCTGTGAAGAAGGCTCACTGGTCTTAAAACATTTAACTTTGTTTTCTCTCCACAGATGCTGCCAAACCCATTGAGTTTCGCCAGCAATTTCTGTTTTAGTTTCAGAACTCCTGACTCTGAAGTTTGTTGTTTTGTCTTAGTTTTGTGATATTTCCAGTGTTTGATTTGTCAATGGTGAGGATTTTTTCTTTTTCTCTTCTAGAGTCTCATTCTCTGCTATATCAGTACACCTTCAATCATGGGAGACCTGATTTACCAGAGTATAGTGTCCTGGGGATTTTGGATGGAAGCGAGATATACTATTTTGACAGCAATATGAAAATAACCGTTCCAAGGCAACAATGGATGGCGGAAGCATTTGACAAGGCTTACTGGGAACAGTGCACTATCACTGAAGTTGGCTTCCATGGAATCATTAAGGGACAGGCTGATGAATGGCTCCAGAAAGAAAACCAAACATCAAGTGAGTTTATTCATTTGAAGTGAAGGCAGTGAATGACAGATGATTTTCACGTTGGATGGGAACTGTGCACCAGGAGTGTTGAACCATTCTGGTATCTGCTAGACCTTTCCTTCCAATGTCATTTGATTTTCCTTTCCCTTTTCCCTTTTGTTTTTTTATAAATTTCCTTGTACTAGTTGTGGACCGCAGGCTGACCTGCATTTATTGCATGTGCCTAGTTGCCCCTGGGAAAGTGGTAGTGAGCTGTGTTATTGAGCCACTGCAGCCTATGTGCTCTAGGTAGATGCAAAATGTCCTTGGAGAGGGAACTATAGGACTTTGATCCAGTGGCAGTGAAGAAACAGTGATATATTTCCAAGTCAGGATGGTGAGTAGCTTGGAGGAGAGCTTGCAGATGTGGGTGTTTCCTTGTATCTGCTGCCCTCGTCCTCTTGGGTAGCAGTGGTTGGCAGTTTGGAAGGTGCTGTCTAAGGATCTTTGGTGAATTTCTGTGGTGCATCTTGTAGATTGTAGCAGTGTGTACTGAGTGTCAATGGTGGAGGGGGTGGATACTTCTGGATGTGTTGCCAATCACGTGGGCTGCCTAGTCCTGATGGTGTCAAGTTTTTTTTTGTGTTGCTGAAGCTGCACCCATCTAGGGAGAGTATTCCATCATACTCCTGACTTGAGTATGTTAGATCATGGAAAGGCTTCGGGAATTCAGGAGGTGAGTTACTTGCTGCAGTATTCCTTACCTCAGATCTGCTATTGGAGCCACTGTATTTATATGGTGAGTCCAGTTGAATTTCTAGTCAATGGTAACTCCCAGGTTATTAACAATGGGAGATTCAGTGATGATAACACCATTGAGTATCAAGGGATGGTGGCTATATGGTCTCTTATTGGAGATGGTCATTACCTGGCATTTGTGTGGTACAAATGTTACTTGCCAATTGTCAGCTCAAGCCTGGATATTGTTCAGATCTTGTTACATTTTAACATGTATTGGTTTAGTATCAGAGGAGTTACGAATGGTGCTGAACATTGCACAATCATCAGCATACATCCCCACTTCTGACCTTATGATGGAGGGAAGGTCATTGATGAAGCAGCTGAAGATGTTTGGACCTTGAACATTACCCTGAGGAACTCCTGCAAAGATGTTCTGGAGCTGAGATCACTAACCTCCAGCAAGAATGGCACAGTGGTTAGGGCAACGCAGTGGCTCAGTGGTTAGCACTGCTGCCTCAGTGTTAGGTACCCATGTTCGATTCCACCCTCGGATGACTGACTGGAGTTTGCACATTGTCACTATGCCTGCGTGGGTTTCCTTTGGATGCTCCAGTTTCCTCCCACAGTCCAAACATATTCAGGCTAGGTGTTAGCCATGGAAAATGTGGGCTACAGGGCCAGGGTAAGGGGATGTGTCTGGGTGGGATGCTCTTGGAAGGGCGATGGGCGAATGGCCTGTTTCCACACTGTAGGCATTCTATGACCTATGATTTAAAGAACAACTACCTTCCTTTCTGTCAGGTATGACTCCAATCAGCAAAGAGATTTCCCACTGATTCAGTTGTTCTAGACATCCTTGATGTCACGCTCAGTCAAGGACAGTTTATCGCATCTCGCCTCTGGAATTCAGCTCCTTTGTCCATGTTTCAGCCAAGGCTGTAATGAGTTCAGGAGCCAAGTGGCCCTGGCGGAATGCAAACTGGGCATCACTAAGCAGATTATTGCTGAGCATGTGCTGCTTGATAACCCTGCCAAAGACATCTTCCATCAATTTACTAATGATTGAGAGTAGACTGATGGGGTGGTAATTGACTGTGTTGGATTTGTCCTGCTTTTGTGTACAAGACATACTTGGGCAATCTTCCACATTGTCAGGTAGATGCCAGTGTTGTAGCTGTGCTGAGACAGCTTGACTAGGGGAGCAGCAAGTTCTGGACCACAAGTCTCCAATATTATTGCCAGAATGTTGTCAGGACCTAGAGTCTTAATAGTATCCAGTGCCTCCAGCCATTTATTGGTATCACATGGAGAGAATTGAATTGGCTGAAGACTGAAATCTGTAACGATGGAAAGCACCAGATGAGACCAAGATGGATTATCCACTCAGGACTTCTGGTCAAAGACTGTTGTGAATGCTCCAAGCTTATCTTTTTGCACTGGCATGTTGGGCTTACCCATCACTGAAGATGAGATATTTTTGGACCTTCCTCCTCCAGTAAGTTATTTAATTGTTTACCACGATTAGCAACTAGATGTAGCAGAACTGCAGATCTTAGATCTGATCAATTGGTGTGGGATTGCTTAGCTGTGGATATCAGCTTATGCTGTTTGGCATGCAAGTAGCACTATTTGGTAACGTCACCACGTTGACAGCTCATTTTATGTGTGCCTGGCGCTTCTCCTGGCATGTCTTCCTGCATTCTCCGTTGAACTAGAGGTAATCCCTGGCTTGGTGACAATGGTCGAGTGAGGGATATTTCAAGCCACGAGGTTGCAGATTGTTTTGGAGTACAATTCTGCTGCTGTTGATTGCCCACACTGCCTCACAGATGCCCAGTCTTGAGTTGCTTAATCTATTCAAAATCTGACCCAATTAGCATGATTGTCATGCCACACAACATGATGGAGTGTATTATTAATGTGAAAGTGAGACATTGTCTGCAAGAGGACTGTGCTGTGGTCACTCTTTCTGAAACTGTCATGGACAGATGCACCCTAGCAGATTGGTAAGGATAAGATCAAATATGTTTCTCCCTTTTTGTTGGTTGCCTTACCCCCTGTCGTCGACCCTGTTAACAGTTATGTCCTTTAGGACCCAACCAGCTTGATCAGTAGTGGTACTACTGAAACACTGTGGGTGGTGGACATTGAAATCTGCCACCCAAGTACATTCTGTGCCCTTACCACCCTCTGTGACTCTTCCAGGTGTTTTCAACATGGCGGAGCATACGACTGTATACCACTGTGCTGTCACCTTTTACTGGGTCTGTCCTGCTGGTGGGACAGTACGTATTCAGGGATGACAGAGGTGTTGTTGGGTTCATTGTTTAAAAGGTATGATTCCATGAGTATGACTATGTCAGGTTGTTACTTGACTAGTGAGAGACAGCTGACCCAATTTTAGCACTAACTCCTGAATGTTAGTAATGAGGACTTTGCAATGCTGACAGGTCTGTTTTTGCCATTGCCATTTCCGGTCCTTAGGTTGATGCGAGGTGCTCCAGCCTGTTGCATTTCTTTATTATTATGTTATTATAGTAATTTATTGTTATATGTGTTAATGAAAATGTGTATAAGTTTCCACAATTAATCTGGCACTATCTTAATTGTGTACACTATAAAAGAGAAACAATGCAAACAAAGTGAAGAAAAATTCCACTTTTGCTCCAACCATGGTTTCTTGATTTCAGAAGTAGCTATGGGACATGCCTTACTCCACAGCCAACAAAGTTGTCCCTGAGGCCGCAACACTGAGGAGGAAGCATGCTGAAGCAGCATGCACAGCGCCGACCAGACCCAGGGTGTCACCTCTGCCAAAGCTGCCTCATCGCTACCGATACTGCACCTGCTGCCATACATGGGAGGCTGTCCCAACTCTTGAGGACTGGGGCCCATTCTCAACTTCCAAGGACCGAAGGACCGTCCAAGTGAACTCCTGAGGATCGCGGGATCGTTCACTCTGCTGCCGAAACTCCAAAGGAGAAGAACTAACCCCAATCCATCAAGGGTTCAACAGTTGCTCAAGCCTCAACCGCCATGGCCACGAGGAGTGGACTGGATCTGCCGCTCAGCAGCTATCCCCAACCTCTCCTCACCACTACAGCCACAGACAGAAGACAAAATGAATTTGATTCAAAAGTCAAACGAAGAAAAGTTAAAATTTTTGAAAGAAGGTGCAGTTGGTCATGTGAATAGAGGGGCCAGGAGCTCGAACACCTATCCTACCACCTCCGTCTTCTTTGTTGAGACTTCGTAGTGATTGATTACTCCCGAATGGCTTCCTGGGCCATTTCAGAGGGCTGTTGAGAGTCAACCACATTACTGTGGGTCTGGAGTCACATGTAGGCCAGACCAGGTGGTGAGAGTTTATGTCCTTCCCTGAAGACATTAGTGAACAGGTGGGTTTTTCAAGAATTGACAGTGGCTTCCTGATATTTTGGTTGAATTCAAATTCAAACATCTGCCTTGCATCCCCAGAACATTAGCTGCATTTGTGGATTAATAGTCTAGAGAAACTACCACTACTACTCCTCACAATTGTAACTCAAACTGTAGCTGAGTAGGGTGCATGGCTGTCTGATTGTGACCAATAATTTTTCAACTTAGCTGAATTGGAACTTAGCTACCAGGAGACATTTTAATTTTAACATCGGGGAAATATGAACAGCAGATTGCAGCTTTACACCTGAATCAATAAATGGATATATGGGACTCTGGCCTAAAGAAAACCTCAGTTGCTTTTTTATAATCCTGCAAGTGGTTTGAGAAACTAAGCAAGAATACCTGCTGCAGAGGAGTGATCCAATTGGAAGGAGCCACTGTATAGTAGTTGTGAAGTCAAATTTATTTTCACAGAAATAGATGAATTCAAATGTTTAATAAAATTAGATAAAATCAGAGACTGGGTATTTCCCATGGTCAGTTGATTATTAATAAAGGACATGCCTGACACTTGAGAGTACGAGTGAAAATCTGGATTTTTAAAAATTTCTCCCAAGTATCAATTGTATGATTACTGAAACTATTGTTGCAACATAATTAAGAACTGAACATAATGCATGCATTCATTTAGCAGAGAAAAATCACTGGAGGCAGCGGTTTTGAGCCCAACTTTACAATGTAAGACATGGAGGAAACCATTGAACCAGTTCTGCTCCTCATCAATGACATTATGAATGAGCTGGTTGTGGCTTCAACTGCACTTGTCTTTCAAATGTTGCATCCACCCCCATCCCCTAATTCCATCTCCACCCCAGCCCCCACCTCCCTGCATCTCCTGCCCTTCCATACCCTTTGGCTCTCTGTGATGGCAACTGTTAAAGCTCTCCCTGTTGTGCTGTACTTCTATCATCCTGTGTAATAATGCTTGTACACTTGTTTAATGTACTGCTAGATATGAAGGATCAAATGATAAACCAAAATTCTCAGATTTGTTTTGATCAGATGCAATGAATATTTAAGGGCTCATTGACTGTATTAATGTTTTAGGTACCCATTACCTGCAAGGACTGTTTGGCTGTGAGCTACATGATGCCAATCCAAGTGAAGGGATTTTGAAGTTTGCTTTTGATGGCAGATACATACTCAGTTTTGATAAAGATACATTGGTTTGGACTATACATGATAAGTTCGCAAAAGAATTCAAAGCGAAATGGGATAAGGAAACAAAGATGAACCGTTATTTCAAGAACCTGTTAGAAAATGACTGTACAGATCTATGGAAAACGTACTATTCAATTGGAAATGCCTCTTTAAGCAGAAAAAGTAAGTTGATAAAAAATGATTGTAGATTTCCTTGTTAGTGTGCAAGGCATTGGCTTACATGTGATACCTGTCACCACATACTTTTTAACCAGTGGCTGATTCAGTTTTAGAAAAGGAGGAAAAGCTAAATGTAATTTCCTTGACTCCATAATGTACTGTGTGATTTTTGTTGATGTTGAAATAACTATCTTTCTATCATACAGCTCCCCCTGAGGTCTCAATTATTGCCAAGGGTGGCCATCATTGTTTTCTACACTGCATTGTGATTGGATTTTACCCCCAGCTGATCAACGTGACCTGGTTGAAGAATGGAAAACCTGCCCATGAGACAAACTCTACTGGGTTATTGCCCAATGAAGATGGGACGTTCCAACTAAAGACAACCCTCCAATTTGACCCATATGATGGCAACCAATATGCCTGTCATATTGAGCACAGCAACTTCCCAGGTGGAAAGACTGTCCTTTGGGGTAAGCACTATCATTGGATCCTCCTACAACTAATGATTGTTGTCTTGCCCACAGACCCTGAAGCAATCGGATCTCTGAAAGCTTATCAGAGCATGGTCAACTCTGCTTCTCCTACAAATCTTCAAAATTGTCCATTTAGGCTAGAGTAAATAGCCATAGAGACTTCCTAAACAACATAAATCCTGACTAACTCCTGTATTTCTCCCTCATCCCCATTAATTGTTAGTCCGTTCTGGTTGGAAGAATAACAATTCTATATTATCTGAATCATGAGTGATTTCAGCTGTCTGAAATGCAAAGGGATCCAGGTATCCTAGTGCATGAATCACAAAGGATTAGTATGCGGATACAGCATCTTATCAGGAAAGCTAACAGAACATTTTCATTTATCGCAAAGGTGATTAAATGCAAAATTGAGGAGATTGGGCTTCAGATACTACAGTTCAGATTACTCAAGGAAGTGGTCCAGAAACTATTAGATGTATTGTTGGTCACCTTCCAAAATTCTATAGACTCTGAAACAGTTCCTACAGATGGGAGAGTAACATGTAACCCCATTACTTAAAAAGAGAGGGAAAGAAAGAACAGAATTGCAGACCCATTAAACTAACGTTAGGATGGGGAAAATGTTGGAGTCTGTTATAAAAATGTGATTAAATAACATAAAAGCATGAACAGGATTGGAAAAAGGTAGCATGAGTTTATGAAATGCAAATTATACTTAACAAATCTGCTGGAGTTTTTTGAGGATGTAATTAGTAGAATAGATAAGCAAGCAGTAGGGCGTATTTGGATTTTGAGAAAGCTTTTGATAAGAAGTAGGCAAGTTCGTTTAGAGCACGAGATGGGGGCGGGGCTAATATTGAGTCATAGAGCCGTACAGCACGGAAGCAGATCCTTTGGTCCCTCTCATCCATGCTGACCAAATATCCTAAATTAATCCAGTCCCATTTGCCAGCAATTGGCCGATATCCCTCTTAAACCCTTCCTATATGGGTACCCATATAGATGCCTCTTTAAATGTTGTAATCATACCAGCCTCTACTAACTCCTCTGGCAGCTCATTCCATGCACACACAGCCCTCTGTGAAAAGAGTTGCCCCTTAGATCCCTTTTATATCTTTCCCCTCGCTCCTTAAACCTGTGCTGTCTGGTTTTGGAACTCCCCTACCCTGGGAAAAGATCCTGTGCTATTCACACTATCCATGTCCCTTATGATTTTATAAACCTCTAAGGTCACCCCTCAGCCTCGATACTCCAGTGAACATAGCCCCAGCCTATTCAGCCTCTACCCATAGCTCAAACCCTCCAACCCCGGCAAGATCCTTGTAAAAGTTTTCTGCGCACTTTCAAGTTTAACAGCATCTTTTCTATAGCAAGGAGACCAGAACTGAATTCAGTATTCCAAGACTGGCCTAACCAATGGCCTGTACAGCCATAACATGACCTCCTAACTCCCATTCTCAATGTGAGACAACAAGGTGCAGGGCTGGATGAACACAGCAGGCCAAGCAGCATCATAGGAGCAGAGAGGCTGACGTTTCGGGCCTAGACCCTTCATCAGAAAAGGGGGAGGGGAAGGGGGTTTTGAAATAAATAGGGAGAGAGTGGGAGGCGGATAGAAGAGGGATAGAGGAGAGGATAGGTGGAGAGGAAACAAACAGGTCGAAGAGGCGGGGATGGGGCCAGGAAAGGTGAGTGTAGGTAGGGAGTTAGGAAGGGGATAGGTCAGTCCAGGGAGGACGGACAGGTCAAGGGGGCGGGATGAGGTTGGTCGGTAGGAGATGGAGGTGCGGCTTGGGGTGGGAGGAGGGGATAGGTGGGAGGAAGAACAGGTTAGGGAGGCAGGGACGAGTTGGACTGGTTTTGGGATGCGGTGGGGGGAGGGGAGATTTTGAAACTTGTGAAATCCACATTGATACCATTGGGCTGCAGGGTTCCCAAGCGGAATATGAGTTGCTGTTCCTGCAACCTTCGGTGGCATCGTTGTGGCACTGCAGGAGGCCCAGGATGGACATGTCGTCTGAGGAATGGGAGGGGGAGTTGAAATGGTTCGCGACTGGGAGGTGCAGTTGTTTGTTGCGAACCGAGCGTAAGTGTTCTGCAAAGCGGTCCCCGAGTCTCCGCTTGGTTTCCCCGATGTAGAGGAAGCCACACCGGGTACAGCGGATGCAGTATACCACATTGGCAGATGTGCAGGTGAACATCTGCTTGATGTGGAAAGTCTTCTTGGGGCCTGGGATGGGGGTGAGGGAGGAGGTATGGGGGCAGGTGTAGCACTTCCTGCGGTTGCAGGGAAAAGTGCCGGGTGTGGTGGAGCTGGAGGGGAGTGTGGAGCGGACAAGGGAGTCACGGAGAGAGTTGTCCCTCCGGAAAGCAGATAA